TCTGAACTAAAGGCTTCTGCATTGTTAGGCAATAGAAGTTAAAGTCTCCCCAGTGTTTTATCCTTTAAGTGCCCTTCAAGCAAATATTACTGTCCTGCAACAAGCACAGCAAAACTGTATGTCAGGCAGTGTAGACAGGGTTTTGTGCTGTAGGAAGACTGAGGTCACTCATCATGGCTCTGTATTACAAGATAGCTAAAATGAAGCAATTACTAGGAAGAAGAGATCTGTTATCTGCTTGATTAATGCTTGAATCTTTTTTAAATCATCTCATACTTGAATGTGACCGTACACATTACTTAGTTACGTGCCCAGGTATGCTAACAATTGTATGAGTGCATCCACTTTAAGTATGTACCTAATTAAAGAAGTGTCCTTGACTACTGAATTGAATAGTGAAATTTCCATTGACTTCATTGAAATATGATTTGGTCTCTGCCTCTAAAATTAGAAGCTGTCATTGTTTTCTCTGATTCAATATCCTCCTCTTTATTTAAAATTCAGCAGGTTTTTTTGGTCTGTCTTATTTTTGCAGTAGTAGGAGAGCTAAACAGTTTAATACAGAAACCTTCTTTTTCTAACTTGAAGTCATAGTAACATGTTAATTTTCCTTTCCGTAACAGGTCACTTGGGGCTTACAGATTTTATATACAAATTTAATGATTTTTTTAAATAAAACATTTTGTGAGAACAGTTCTAAACGTTCTCAACTAGCACATAAATTTTAATTAACTTAATCAGTGAAATATTATCAGCAAGATACTGATATTTGCTATCCTAATTGTTTAAAAATACATTATAGTTGCTTTATTTTGTTGTTTATTCAGTTCTGCAAACACATAGTCTTTCAGATAGAAGATTTTGTAGGATTAATATATAACCCTTTCTCCTCCTTTTAGCTGGTTCTCTGAAAGCTCCCACGAAGAGGTCATGTGAAGGGTCAGGCACATTGTTTGCATTAGCAGTAATATTTTACCTGAACAGCTATATTGGGTTTGTGTAGGAAGGTTTTGGTAGAAGGGTTGTGTTTTGGAGCTTCTGTGAGAAGCTGCTGGAAGCTTCCCCCATGTCTGATGGAGCCTGTGGTGGCTGCCTACAAGATGAATCCACTGCTGGCCAAGGGCAGGCTCATCAGCGCCGGTGGCAGCGCCTCTGGGATAACATATTTGAGAAGGGAAATCGTTGCTGGGCGACAGCAATTGCAGGCAAAGAGAGGAGTGAGAATATGTGAGAGGAAAGGCACTGGAGCAGAGACTTCCCTGCAGGCTGTGGTGAAGACCATGGCGAGGCAGGCTGACCCCCTGCAGCCCATGTTGGTCTGTGGTGGACCAGATCTCCACCTGCAGCCTGTGAAGGACCCCGTGCCAGAGTAGGTGGATGTGTCCAAAGGATGCTCTGAAAAGAGGAAAAATAAAATTAAAAAACCAACTCAAAACATTTAATGAAAATTTTGTGAGCACTTGGAAGCCCACTGGCACGTACAAATGGGACACTTCTGGCCCTGGGTCTCAGCTGTGCCCAACTTAACATATGTGGGATGGCATTTATCAACAGCAGAGAACATATGTCTTTGGAGGTGGGCAGTGGTCTGAGGTCTGTTAAGAAGCCCTTGTTCTGTTTAGTTGGTGTAAAGGCATGAGCTTCTAGAGCAATGGAACTGGATTTGGTTTTTGTTGCTCCTATGGCATCTTGCCTATACCTTCCCCCGCCAAGTCAGGCAGGCTACTTGTGATGGCTGGGATTCAAGCCCATCCAAGAACTCAAGAGCAGGCAGAGCTGGCAGTTGTTCTTGACAGTAACAACTAGGGCAGGCACGATGGGAAGTAGAAAATTGAGTAAACAGTAGCTTTCCCACAGGGCAGGGGGAAGAGCTTGAGGCAGCCAAGCTTTCCTCATGATGTTTTGTGGAGCTGCAGCCAAATAAAGACTCTGTGTTTGAGTTGAAAGATGGATACTCTAGAATGCGAGTCAAATAGACTGCTGGTCTGTATCATTGCTTTTGGGGCATGTTACATTAAAAACACCCCCAGGCACTACAACTGCAGCCACAACCTTCAGAGATGCTGTCTTGGTTTGGCTTGTGACAATCCCAAATGGCAGTTAAAATGCAAAACCATATAATAGGAATTGTGGGGAGAAAAAAATCCAGAAAATAGTATTACTTTATAGATAAATATTATAGAAGAACTTCATGGAAGTTGAGAAATGGCAGTTATTGAAGAAATACTTCAGGACTTTAATCACTGTGTATTACAGTATGCATTGGTGACACTAGGAATGATCCAGCTCAAGTTAATTTAGGTCATGTAAGTTTATATTTAAGGAAATGTGACTTTGGTTTGGTCAGTGGGAAAACCACAGAAGAGAGACTTTGTATTTTAATAAAAGTGGTGGATAGATTCTTATAGAAAAAGCACCTGGTCATAGAAAAATGCAAAAACATAGTCAATGATATTAGTGGCAAAGTTTCATCTTTACCATCTTCTCTCAAGTTCTTAATGTATTTCATTCTCTATTCTTAAAAAAAAAAAAATTAAAACTAATCAAAAGAAATCTATAAAAAGTTAAGAAACAAAGTGGGCTTTCCAAAACACACACGCATTACAATTGTTCTTTCTAAGCTGTTGAATGTACTTTTAAATTATGGACTGTATTCTGTCTCTCAGTCTGACAGTTTTTCAGACTGTTATAGCAGATGCTTATTCAAGTGCAATGTTTAAATCCTATGTTTTAATCATCATTCCTTCTCCTTTTTACTGTATTGATACCACTACTTGTGGGGCAGTGCTTTAGGTGCATAAAATAAATCATCTACTGCTGTAAGATAGAACAGCAAGTATTGTTACAGTTTATATAAGGAATGTACTTGTTAAATTCCAAATCTCTTTATTCTTATGGGAATTTTTAGTTGCTAAAACCTTTTTCGACTAGATTTCAGACAAGATACCTGCTACCTCTAAATGGAAATTGATTTTTTTTTATTATTTATAGAAAATACATGGCACAGTTTAAAAGCTGTGGCCTTAAAAAAATAAAAAAGCTTAGCAGGTAAAAGTATGTTGAGCACTAAGGGAAAACTTACTTGATAACTTTAAATTATTTAAATAAAACGTGTACTTTTGCAAAGGTTTTTTTGAGTATTGGATGTACTTATAATGTCTAATCCGCTGAAAGTTCCCTCATAAAAATAGACTTTTTAATGTAAGTAGAGGCTTTCTTTCAGCTTAAGCATTCTATCTATATGCAAGGGTTTAGGTTTCATAGGCTTGTCTCTTCATTTTACTGGCTTCTGTTACAAGCTCTTGATCTTTAGCAAAAAGAACTCATCACATCTGGGCATCAGTCATCCGCAAAGTTGCTTAAGTATTCCATTTCCTACTCTGTATGCCTGCTACTTGAAACCTTCTTTGCAATGTCTATTAAATTCATTTTTGTTGGCCCAACCTGTGTATTAGGTTAAAACGTTGTTTAAAATAAATAAAATCGCTGAGTGAGGTGCTTTGATAATTAAAATGAGCTGTTCTGTAAATGAAGAATCCCTTCGCAGATTTACTGAGTTCAGTGTAAGTCAGAAATTACCAAGGGCTCATTTTGTGTAATCATTCTGTAAGTAGCTAAATTGCAGAAAAAAACAGCTCTTGGTAAATGTTGCAATTTAATATTCCATCTCAGAAACGTTTAGGCTACATGAGATACTTGTGGTTATTTTTTTTTTACTGTAGTACTTACTGTGGAGAATTCAGCTGAATAACTTTATGAAAAATACTTTGTTGTTGCAGATGAGCTTTTATGAATATAAAATTCAGGAAATTCGAGATTGTGGTTCCCACAGCAACCATGAGTTGTTTCTTGGCTTCTGTTTAGGGTTTAGAATTACTGGGCTAAATGCTGTCCCCAGTCTTCATGACTTTTCCCATGTTGATGTGAAAGCTGAGATGAGAACTTGGCTCAGGATTTGTGTGTAACTTCTTTGTCTGAATATGTTTCTATTTCAAATTTGTCCAAGATATAATTGTGTGGGAATAATTATCTAACTTTTAATCTTAAATTTTTTTTTTCAAGACTAAACATCTTCCAACATTCATTAAAACTTACATAGTCCAGTGCTGTGCAGACATTACCCCTCATTTTACTCCTGCTGGGTCTATATGGTCAGTATTGCCATGAGTTTTTGATGGGGAATGTGCAAGGAAATTAAAAGTCTGGAAAAAAGTCTCCCTTCTGATAGAGGATGTCAAGTGACTCAGAGACTTGAGTTCTTCTAATTTGGTTGCAGTGATGATGCAGGAGGAAATTTTAGTCTGTAAGGATTGGTTTTAGTTAGCTTTGAAGGAAGGTCCTCAGACACCTGCACCTATCTTGGGATACTCAACTAAGTTTTTATAAAAACTTTTGTTGAGCCATTAAAAACAAATCCAGTGAAGAGGAAAACATGTCATCCTGGTGTCAGGTATCTTCTGCCACCATGAGGTACGCCTCTTAAAATGTGTTCTGAAGTGCTCACTGCAATACCTGAATATGCAAATTTTCAAATATTATTGATGTTGAGCAGCATTTGTGTAAGGGTTTTGGACATCTCAATTGCTTATTTAAATTTAAAACATAAGATGTTACTCTGGTTCAGGATACACCTGCTGATTTGATTACACATTTTGAGTCTTGACAACTGTGAGTCAAGCACAAAAGCATTTCAATATTTGCTTTATATTGCTTTGTAAAGTCTTTTTAAACTGCTGTAAAGAATGTTGTGGGCTTTTTTTTTTGTTTGAATCGTAAATTTAAAAAAAATTTCTGTAGGTCTGCTAAAAGTAGGAGTCACTTCTAGTTTCAGACAACCATGATAACATTTCCAGCAGAAAACTGTCACAGGAAAGGATAGATAAAGCTATTGAAAAGTAGATACTTAACAGGAATGTTCAACTGTGGCTATAACAACCTTCTTAGTTTCTCTCCACCATAACCTAAAGGGACACCACTGTTTTCTTCTGTTTTTCTTTCAGAAGTAGGAAAGGACAAAGACACATATACAGACGATTCAGAACATGCAAATTATGATACTCGTACAGATCAGTCGTTGCTCATTCAGAACAAGCTTACCAGGCAGAAAACAGAACCTCGGAACAAATCGTCTCTAAAGGTAACAGACACAAAACTTCAGTAAACTTTATAAATTGTCAGAATATGCTTAAATATTTTTAAAATGTAATCAAGGGATTAGATAAATTGCAGCTTAAATAGGCGTCCGATTATAAGAAATTTAAGAGGCTTCCACTTTATAGTTTAACCTATAGAGTCAGTGAATGGAATTCTCTCTACCAAAAGTGACCAAAATGATATAGAATCCATGATTCATATCGACTTGTCTAAGAGACAGTAGCCTTCTTTCAAAAAGTTTATATTGCACAGAATTTAGGACATAGGATTCCCAGCATGGAGTGAAATTTAGGACATAGGATTCCCAGCATGGAGTGAAATTCATGTCAGCTGAGAGGCCTCAAGAAATTATGAAAGCTTAGAAGAATTTAGGAAAGTTTAGAAGAATTAAGTTCATGTAGCAAATGATCAGTCAAGAGTGATCTAAAGTGGTAGGATACTCTTTCTAAGGAAAATCCAAATGATAGCTACACACATAGAATCAAAGAAAATTCGCTTATGTGTCGGTTTTGTAGGAGTATTTTCAGGAACTTCAGCTAATTCACTGTAAAGATGTCTTGCCAGATAAAACTGGCATGTAATTTTGCTTGGTAATTACCTAATCACAGTATTCATCACAATGTGTTTTCTACATTATTTTCCAATATAGTGCCAAAGAATTATGACACATTTTCAATTCAAAATATGTAGGTTTTTTGTTCTCGCTGTGGGCTGGAGGACCCTTAATTCTCCTTTCCATTAAGTATAATTGCTTGTAAATGTCTGACAAACAACCTGACCTCAAGAAGTTCTGAATAATTTTCTTCAAGCACTGCAAGTAGTATATTCTGCAGCACAGTTCCTTTATACCAGCAATTCTCTGATATCTGGTATATAAAAGCAAGAATAATCCCATGCTACAAGTCTTGAACTGCTTAAATTGCTTTAAGGTTCTGTGCTTTGCATAGAGAATACTCTCTTCAGTAGGTCCTTCCACCATTCTCTCATCCATGATGCCTGTGGCATGTTGTGTTGGGTGCAGGTTTCACAGGAATCATGTAGCTGTGGTAGAGCTCATTGTCTCAGAGTGGACAAAGTCCTTTCAGGACTGATGCAGAGGTTATAGGCAGCCAGTAAGCTAACTTCCTTTCAAGTTTAAAGAGGAGCCTTGTGTTTGTATTGTTTAAACAAAAATGCACTTTTTCTGTCTCAATCTTATGTCCTGACCTACTGAACAAAGTGCTTCAGAGTTTAAAACCAGTCTTCTGAAGCCACATCTGGCTTTTAGCCTTGACAGCTCCTTTTATCACAGCAATTACTTGGGAAACTTCCTTCTGCTCGTTTAATGTTTATGCGGATGAGGCAGCCAAGCAGGAGTCTCCTCCAGTTTACTGTTTGCATGTCTCCACAGGAAAAAGGCAGAGGGGATTTAGAGTAGTCTTATATTAGGAAAGAAGGTTACTATTTTGCCTTTGGATTATTGTACAAGTCTTTGTGGCAGTTAGTGGAAGGTGTCTAAGGTAAACTACTTCCCAAAATGGATATGAAAGTAGCAAAAGGAGCCTTCTAATTCTTTTTGAGACTGTTGAAAGCACAGAGAACTGTTCAACAGCTTTACAGCTGGTAAGTACTCTCATATATTCAGAAAAGAAACTGATCTAGCATGATAAAAAAAGTCTCTTTAGTCTGACCAGGGAATGGAATTGAGTAACACCACATTGGCAAACTGTACAAGGATAAAAGCTTCTTCTATTTCCCTGCTTGTAAGTTACCCTAATTTGGGCTGGTTTTGGAAGGGCTGTTTTACACCTGAGAGGCTCAGGGGAAAATTGATAATAACGTTATTTGCAATTAATGCTTGGTGCTATTATCTGTCTTGGTGATGATCTACTTGAATACTTCAGCAGTAACAAACTTGTCTTGCTGAAACGATGAAAGCCAATACACATTTTTTTTTCAGAAATTGTTAAGTTTTTCAGATCACATCCATGATGTGGCACTTTGCATGAATCTGATTTGTATTGCTGCAATTCTGAACCTTTAGAAACATTAGATAATTCTGATGTAGCATCTGGATGCCAACATTGATTTTGATAGTCATCTACTTTTCTAATTTCCTAGATTATTATTTATAACTCATAAACTCCTTTAGTGTAGGATGGTATCATTTCAGAATCCAGATTTCAAACTGAAAAATTGTGAGTCCTTGAGACCCATTAAAAAACTGTCTGCATTACCCACCTCTGCTGTCTTTTCATCACCAACTGCTGTTGAGATTGTGTCGAAAGTATGGCTTCATGTATATCATTCTGCCACGGGATCTCATGCAGAGGAATGATGCCAAGAATTGGCTGCTGAGCAAACTATGGCATGAGTAGTATCTGCTATTGGAAGGGAAATGCTCTTGTTTCACTGAGAGAGGGAAGCAGGCTAAACAGGCTTGGTCACTTGAATAGAAGGTAACATTTATCTTGAGAAGCAGTGAAGTCACTAACAGTGAATTCTTTTCTGTAGCAATTCCTATCATGTGTATAGTGGCAAGATAGGAATATTTGAGAAATCATACTTCCATTTCCTTTGAAGATAGTACATTGCTGTTACTATCTTAAATCTGATTAATTTTTTATCTAGGTAGCATGTTCTGCTATCCAACAAGGTAAGGAAAGGCTTTTTAGAACAAAGTTCACATATCTCTGTGGGTTCAAGGATTGTAAAGAAATGCTGCCTACACAGTAGCTTAGTTTACTGCCTTTTTCTGGTATCCTCCAATATCCACTATAATTTCTCTTTCTGTCTCTGTAAATGTTGCATAATTTCTAAGGAATTTTAAATGAGATATTAAATAAGCAATAGGCCAAAATGTATGAACAGTTGCATCTAATCAGCTGGACCTGCTGCTGGTAATCAGTTATAAATTAAAAAAAAAAAGTCAATATGCTCAGTGTATATTATTACGGTGATTATTACAGGATAAATCCAGCCATGAAAACATGAAATGCGTTGTTGACGCATTTTATTGGATTCTTTGTGATTTTGTACGTACCTCTTCCTCTCTGTCCTGCAAAACAAATGTTTTACGTGGAGGATTTCGTGTAGGTGGTTTTGGAAAAGTGGAAGAATTTAAGTGTACTATCTGCAGAATAAGAATATTCTTTGCTCTTGATATTTTATTTTCCACCCTTTTGCAGGCATTATTTTCTGTTTTCATTTTTTCCTGTTTAAGACCATGACTTTCAGAGTTGAACAGATTTGTGCTGTATGTCCTAATCCTGTTAATTTGTCACTTGTTTCACATACATTATTTCACTTGTAATCTGCTCCTGTGTTCAGTGGAAGTCAGATGTGTGCTGAAAAAGAAAGCCGTGCAATAAAAATGTTTTAGTGTATAAATAAGAACAAGATGTTGTCAGCTGACAACAGCATACTGGAAAGGAGAATATCAAAGGGAGCCTGACTGATAAGGAGTAGTCCACAAAGGCAGTCTAATACCACAGAAGTAAATAAAGTTTAAAAGGAACGATAACAGATAAAATCATTGTCCCGGAATAGAATTACATAGTTAAGTGCAACAAAAGTTAACTTCATGTTTATGATTATAGTGCATGGCTCTCATCTCCTTGGAAGGCTTGTTTAAAAAAAAAAAAAAAGAGCTCAGAGAACAGGAAACGCAGGGAATGTATTAAGTAATTTTATTTTAAAGATGAAAGCTTTAAGAAATAAACATGCAAAGAAAAACTTTGAGTGGTCATGTCAGTATACTTCTTATTAAAGCACCCCAATTAGTCTTAAAGAGCAAAAATAATTGGTTAAGTATTAAAAATGGGAAGCCTCCTCCTACCTCCAAGCATCCTCCAGTGCAGCATCCTCACACAGTAACACTGAAGAGACTTCCTTTCAAAATCTTGCATAAGATCACCTAAACCTACTCCTTCCCTGAGGCAAAATATATTTTTCTTATTATGTAGAAATGTATTTTAATGCTTACTCTAGAAGTATGAATGGAATGACGATGGGGAAAAAATGTCATCTGTCAAGAAGTTAAAATAATTACTCATTCTTAGGTTTCCTCCTAAAAGGTCTGACTGCAGTTTTATTATGAAGGTTAGATATTTGAGGAAGTCTTCTCTGTTCAGAACCCAGGTAGGTCCTGCAGTGCACAGTGTTGTATGCACAGCACTACATTGGCATGGGTACTTACAGCAGCCTCTTGTGATAACCAGGCTGCATTGTCCCTGCCCAAGAGAGTTTGGATATCTTTGCATATGCAGATATGTCCCCAGTTTTCTTTCTTAGATTATTATCCTCATGGTTAATGTGAAAAAAAAAAAAAAAAAAAAACACCAAAAAACCAACCAACCAAAAAAAAAAAAAAAAAAAAAACCCCAAAAAACCAACCAACCAAACAAAAAAAAAAAAAAAAACCAAAAACAAACAAACAAAAAAACCCAAACAAAAACAAACAAACAAACAAGCAAACCCACAAAACCAGTATACACTTCATCTATATCTTCATTCTCCCCACGTTCCTCCTCCATTCCAAGCTGATGTTCCTTGCAAGTGTGTAAAGTGATTTTGGAGAGAGGTGGTTCCAGACACCCCTCTTGAGGCTGTAAGATTCCATGCCAATAAACTCTAAGGTGGTGTTTACAAAAGTTTAGTGCGTTGCTTCATTATTGGTAAAAGCTTATCAAAATTATTTTTCTCTAGCATATTTAACTGTCAGATTTCATAAGCTGTTCTAGGGAGGAAATTAATTTTGTTCTGAACATCATCACCATGTAATGAAAAGGGAGATTTAACAAATTTGGGGTGCAAACTGTTAAAAGAAAAATCCTGAGGCCCAGCTATGTGCATCCCTCTATCTTGTGGATCTCAGACACTAGTCTGTTGGTATATTTGCTTTTCTTTACATAATTTTACCAATTTAAATCCAAATTACACCACCTACACAGAGGAACGTGGAACTTCATCCTGTCTACTGTAGAGGCAAAATAAACATTTTGT